AGAGAGAGAGAGAGAGAGAGAGAGAGAGAGAGAGAGAGAGAGAGAGAGAGAGAGAGAGAGAGAGAGAGAGGAGCGCGTGTTTGTGAGCCGATTGTTCCTGGAGCTTCTTGTTGGCCGGTTCTTCAAGTTTGTGCGTCTTCTTCCGCTTTGTACGTGTGCGGCCATATTTCAGTCCGGTCTTTGCCCAAAGACACCCTCAACTGCCTCTCCTGGACTGTGGAGCCTTCAATCAGAAGTGTTCCATCAGGTTCAGTGATCGGGGGCCGTGAATGCTGTTGTTTGTTTAGATAACACGTCTATTTTTCTTCCTGGCACTGTCTGGCTATTGCAAATCACCCTATCGTTGTGTGTGAATTCGGGACACTGCGGAAGTCCTGCATTTATGTGTTGTGTCTGTTGTTTTCCTGTCCCTTATCCATAATGCGAGTGCGATTAATTTTTGTTTTTTATTGCAATCACTTCCTGTCCGATCGTGGTCATGTACGTGCTCGAACGCCTGGTCATTTTAGGTGTATGTGGTTTACGTTTCAGTCGAGATACAGAGATAATGACCCGGCGTTTTATTCCGAGTAAAGACGGGCCTTTCTGCGCGATCGCAAGCACCACTCGTGCTCGATCGTCTTCATCTTCCCTGTCGATCACTCTGATATCGCACATGGATCTCTCTCATCGACATCACGTTTCCCTCGTCGAATATTCTGGTATACCTCATTTACAATCCTGATCCGAGCACTGATGTTTCGGCAACATCCTCTACGTGTTTCACTTAGTATCTCCCCCTCCGATCATTGTCATCCATCATCCTCGATCGTGGGATTCGTGGCCATCTCCCTGCTCGATCGTTGTCCTCTTCGTGCTACTAGCCGGCAGTCACGTCCCTCTCTCCTATCCTTATCATTTCGCTGCCCGTTGTTGTGATCTCGATGCCCATTAATACCATTATTGTCATCTCCCTACTCGATCATAGTCGTCTTCCTGCTTGCGAGTAGCCCGATCGTTTAGAGCCGGTTAACGGAGGCCTCAATTTTCAGACCACTTGTCAGGCCATTTATAACAAAACCCAAGGGTCATTTTAACC